AAAGTGTGTAAAACTTTTTTTTTTTTTTTTGAGACGGAGTCTCGCTCTGTCGCACAGGCTGGAGTGCAGTTGGCACTATCTCGGCTCATTGCAACCTGCCACCTCCCGGGTTCAAGGGATTCTCCTGCCTCAGCCTCCGGAGTAGCTGGACTACAGGCGCGTGTTACCACGCCCGGCCAGTTTTTCGTTTTTGTATTTTTGGGTAACTTTCTAGGTTTTAAGGCTTGCTTTGAGGGAGAGGAGTTGTAGTTTCTGTGACCTACTTTGGGGAAGAGACCTTCTGGTTTGTATGACTGTCTTCCAGGGGAGAACAGGAGGAGGTCGGAAAGACTTTGCTTCTGAGGGTCCTCCAATCTCCTTTAGTTCAAAGTACTCAGCATGCCAAGATGTCATACTTTCAGGAATTATGTTCTGAGCCCCAACAATGTAAATATTCTCAGGGCAATGCATTTATTTATTTATTTATTTGTATTTATTTACTTTATTTTTTTGAGATGGAGTCTTGCTCTGTCGCTCAGGCTGGAGTACAGTGGTGTGATCCCGGCTCACTGCAACCTCTGCCTCCCGGGTTCAAGCAATTCTCCTGCCTCAGCCTCCTGAGAAGCTACAGCATGTCAATATGCCATACTTTGGGGAATTATGTTCTGAGCCCCAACAATGTAAATATTCCCAGGGCAAAGCATTTTTGTATTTATATTTATTTATTTAGAGACAGAGTATCGCTTTGTTGCCCAGGCTGGAGTCCAGTGGTGTGATCTTGGCTAACTGCAACCTGCGCTTCTCAGGTTCAAGCAATTCTCCTGCCTCAGTCTCCTGAGTAGCTGGGATTACACGCATGCGCCACTATGCCCAGATAATTTTTGTGTGTATTTTTTTTCTTTTTTCTTTTTTCTTTTCTTTTTTTTTTTGTGACAGAGTCTCGCTTTGTTGCCCAGGCTGGAGTGCAGTGGCGCCATCTTGACTCCCTGCAAGCGCCGCCTCCTGGGTTCAGGCCATTCTCCTGCCTCAGCCTCCCCTGGGACTACAGGCGTCCGCCGTCATGCCCAGCTAATTTTTTGTATTTTTGGTACAGACGAGGTTTCACCATGTTAGCCAGGATGGTCTCGATCTCCTGACCTCGTGATCCGCCCACCTCGGCCTCCCAAAGTGCTGGGATTACAGGCATGAGCCACCGCTCCCGGCCGCTTCGTGTGTATTTTTAATAAAGACAGGGTTTCACCAGGTTGACCAGACTGGTCAGGAACTCCTGACTTCAGGTGATCCAACAGCCTCAGCCTCCCCAAGTGCTGGCATTACAAGAGTGAGCCACCGCGCCCAGCCCAAGGGCAAAATATTTTCAAGGCAATCAGTAAACCAGAGATCTTTCATAGGATTGTGAAAGGAAAATAAATCTCAGGACCCCAAAACCACTAAGCCAAGGGAAAAGTCAAGCTGGGAACTATGTCAGGCAAACCTGTCTTCCATTTTATTCCTAAATAAGATAGCTATAATAAAAAGCTACATACCTCCCTTACAATTTTCCCATAAGGAAATTCCTTGTGGACAAAGGATAAAGAGAACTCAAAGTCATCCTTCTGAGGCTCACCTGAGACACATGTGTATCTGATTGCGTCCTCTGCCCTATTATTTATGTAAAAATGCAGATTCACTGAGCCAGACTAAATTGTGTATTCAATGGGAGGCTGATCAATGACTCAAAAGAATGCAGTCTTTTGTCTCGAATCTACTTCTAACCTGGAAGCCCCCACTTCGAGTTGTCCTGCCTTACTGAACCGAACCAACGTACATCTTACACATGTTGATTGATATCTTTTGTCTCCCTAAACTGTATAAAAGCAAACTATACCCCAACTACCTTGGGCATATGTTATCAGGACCTCCTGAGGCTGTATCACAGGCCCATCCTTAATCTTGGCAAAACAAACTTTCTAAATTGATTGACACCTGCCTCAGATGCCTTTTGGTTTACAGGGTGTTATATAGACAACCAGAATATTCCTCCCCCAAAATATACCACTTGGCTATAAGGATTATTTTGAGAAACAGCTGACACAGAAAAAGCACTGAAAACGGTAAAAGTTTCTCTTTCATGAAGCAACAAAAACAAACACAACTCCTTTCATGTATAAAAGACATTTCCCTTGGTAAAGATGTCCTCCTTGGTTATATCAGAAGAGGAGAATGGCCCTCAGAGACAATTCTTACCACCTGAGATGACTTGAACCTGCATACAAGACTTTATCAGATAATCCTTGTCTTCCATTAGTTTACTCCCTGTATTTTTCTTCCCACAGTTTACTCCCCTAGGAAACCACCACCTCTTTAAAATGGTATACAAACCCCCGGGTCTGTCTGCCTCCATGGGCTTTTATTCCCTTTCTGTGAAGGCTCCCATATGCATATATACAGCAATAAATCTTTTCCCCTGTTAATCTGTCTTTTGTCAATTTAATTTGTAGGGCCCAACTACAAAGCCTAACAGAGTAAAATAAAAGTTTCTTATTCTACAGTTTCCTTCACCAGATAAAGGAGCACTTATAAGGGTTTTCAGTGCTTCTAGATTTCATCTTGAAAAAATTAATTATAAAATAACATATTCAATACCTTGTTTTATGGTCCAAAATGCTGCCTAGTTTTTCTGTAGTTGGAAAAGAGGATTGCTGAGATTAATGCGCCACATGAGATACAGGGTTTAAACCTTCAAGTTTAAACACTTAGGTTCCATTGTTAAAAGAGAGAGAAAAAGGCCCGGCCTGGTGGCTCATGCCTGTAATCCCAGCACTTTGGGAGGCCGAGGTGGGCGGATCACCTGAGGTCAGGAGTTTGAGACCAGCCTGGCCAACACGGCGAAACTCCGCCTGTACTAAAAATACAAAAATTAGCTGAACGTGGTGGCGGGTGCCTTTAATCCCAGCTACTTAGGAGGCTAAGGCTGCAGAATCACTTGAACCCGGGAGGCAGAGATTGCAGTGTGCAGAGAATGCGCCATTGCACTCCAGCCTGTGGGGTCAAGAGCGAAACTCTGTTTAAAAAAAAAAAAAAAAGGGGGTGGGGGGAGAGGCCAGCCTAGCTCAGCGAGAAATTGATTAACTGATACAACATAAGTATGTAATGTTTTGCACATACAGTAATCATAGAATAGTTCATAATATACTTGGAGAGACTGACTTTTAGAATAAAATTACATGTTTGTTAAAGGCATAAATAATCTAACACTTTTGAAATATAAAAGGTAAACATTACTGAGAAACAGAATCTGATAGCTGGAAGGCAGGGCAAAGCAGGTCCAGCCTAGGTCACAAAGGTCACCCAACATGAAACTGTTTTTTTGTTTTGTTTTGTTTTTTGTTTTTTTGAGATGGAGTCTCACTCTGTTGCCCAGGCTGGAGTGCATGGAGTGCAGTGGTGAGGTCTTGGCTCACTGCAACCTCCGCCTCCCGGGTTCAAGCGATTCTCCTGCCTCAACCTCCCGAGTAGGTGGGGTTATGGGCGCCCTCCACCACGCCTGGCCAATTTTCTCTATTTTTAGTAGAAAAGGGGTTTCGCCATCTCAGCCAGGCTGGTCTCGAACTCCTGACTTCGTGGTCCACCTGCATCGGCCTCCCTAAGGGCTGGGATTACAGGCGTAAGCCACAGAGTCCAGCCATTTGAAACTCTTTTTCTTGGAATAAAGTCATCCTTGGTCTTTCCCTCCTGCATTTTATTTGTAAATGTAAAAGGGTTTCCGGGCACAGCTGATTTCCTAGTTCAACAGAAAAGAGGAACAAGAGGGAGCTCAAGCGGCATCTTCACCACTCGAAGGAACTAGAGAGTAAAAGCCACCTTTCTTTCTCAAACAGTTTCCTGAAGTGTTTCTAGGTGGAATGAGGGAAAAAAAAAAATAGGAAATCAGTTCTTGCCCCAAAAATGTGGTCGGGGAGGGAGGTAAACGAACAGAAAGGACAGCTACAGAAAGAATAAAAGGTAAGGAAAAGAATAGAGAACCAAATTTGGGAAAGGTGAGGAATCCCACCTTGGAGCTATCATCAGGTGGTCTTTCGCAGTCAGCCACTCCACAGGCTGATCACTTCGAGATTGTACGGAAGCAGTTTCTACACACGATTTCACAACTGCCCGAAACGACTGTGATTACCCCTCTAGAGATGGCGCCACTTGATTCCAGCAGCCACAAAGCACTACAGCAATCTAAGAGCTAATTACAGCTAAGAGGTGACAGGAAAAACAGGCTGCAACGATCCAGCCAAAGGAATGTCGTTGCAGCGGCGGTCAACCTAAAACACTGTGGAAGGGCAAGATGAGCTCAGTAACTTTTAATTGGGCATCATTTTCAGAATCTGGAGTTTAAGCACCGCCCTTTCCATTTTTTTCCTGAAGTCGTTGGCAGGGCGTAAGGTCTGCGATTGACTGACCGGATGCAGCTGGTGTGGACAGTTCTCAATCAGGTCCGATTTATCACTATATGTACAAGTACTGCTGCGAGACTCGCTGTGTTGCATTTTACTTAGTACAAGATATGTCTGGGCGCGGCAAAGGTGGGAAGGGTCTGGGCAAAGGAGGCGCTAAGCGCCACCGCAAAGTGCCACCGCAAAGTCCTGCGCGACAATATTCAGGGTATCACCAAGCCAGCCATCCGACGCCTGGCACGGCGTGGAGGCGTTAAGCGCATCTCAGGCCTTATATACGAGGAGACGCGCGGAGTTCTTAAGGTGTTTTTGGAGAATGTGATCCGCGATGCAGTTACCTACACGGAACACGCCAAACGCAAGACAGTCACGGCCATGGACGTGGTTTACGCGCTCAAGCGCCAGGGTCGCACCCTCTATGGCTTCGGCGGCTGAGTGTTTTCCTTACTTATCCCATTCCTCAAAGGCCCTTCTCAGGGCCACCCATGAAATCTGTGAAAGGGCTGTAGACTAGAGCCTTAATGTCCTAAGAACATCTAAACGTATGGCAGTTTTGGCAAATTAGCGATTCTACATAAGCAGTCTCTAAGGTTTATTGCGGTTCGGTGCCCCTTTCAGCATTACTTAGTGGTTTAAAGTGTCGTATTCTCTGATAGACGGCCAAATTTATAACGCCTCCGGTTTTTGCAAGTCACAGTGGAACATCCGGTCTCATTTACCTTGTGTCGATTACTTTCCCGCTATGAATGCAAGGGCTGTGTAACTATGACACTAGTCCGCAACGCTCAAAATGCCTCAATATCGCCCTTTACAGAAAAAGTTGGCCAACTTCTAAAACATTCTTAAGTACGTTTAAATTTGAGAAATACTGGCATACCTACAACGCTCGAGTTTCATATCCCCTTCAATGCCTCCACTTAAAAATTTACTCTAGTTTCACTTTTCCTTCACGTTCCTTAACTTTTTGTCAAACCAATAATGACACCACATAATTCAAATAGTGCAAGGCAAGTTTAGATTTTTCAAGCTTACATTTAAACAGGATTTTGATGCATGAAAATTCCTAGAGTTTAGGGGGATTTTTTGTTTCCGTTTTTGTTTTTCTTTAGCTATCAAAAACATTTTACGTTTCTTGACCCAAAGCTGAGGCGGAATGTCTCCCTTTCACTGGCAGATTAAACTGGGAGCCAATTCCGTGTGTGAGACGGGGCATGCCACAGTCTACTGTCCAATCAGAACGCGAGGGCAGCTATAAATACAGGGATGATCAGTTTTTTCTCTCTCATTTGTGTTGAGTAGTTAGGCCTACTTAGCAATGGCACGGACAAAGCAGACAGCTCGCAAGTCCACCGGCGGCAAAGCGCCGCGCAAGCAGCTGGCCACCAAGGCGGCTCGCAAGAGTGCTCCGGCCACCGGTGGAGTCAAGAAGCCCCATCGCTACCGCCCCGGCACCGTGGCTCTGCGCGAGATCCGCCGCTACCAGAAGTCCACTGAGCTGCTAATCCGGAAGCTACCTTTTCAGCGCTTGGTACGCGAGATCGCACAGGACTTTAAGACCGACCTGCGCTTCCAGAGCTCGGCAGTGATGGCGCTGCAAGAGGCTTGCGAGGCCTACCTGGTGGGGCTATTTGAGGACACCAACCTGTGCGCCATTCACGCCAAGCGCGTCACTATTATGCCCAAAGACATCCAGCTTGCGCGCCGCATCCGAGGGGAGAGGGCATAAATGTTTTTCTATCATCCCAAAAAGTCTGTCCAACCCCAAAAGGCTCTTTTCAGAGCCCCTCAATTGTCACCGAAAGGAAGCTGTAGATTTTGAGACGCGTCTTAAATCCATGTTAGTTACAAGTTGCGGACAAAACGTAGTCGTGGCTCAACACACTAATGCAGGAGTTAGGTCACAGGCTGTTGGTATGCTAAATCAATTCCACATGCAGAACCTGCTCCTACTGATAAGGATTACCATTCAAAAAAGACATATGTCATAGGGACAATTGTGCAGATGAAGTTTAACTTTTGAAAAGTATTCCTGTTCTTTGAGGAATGTGTTTCCTGCTTGTCTATCTGCCCCTAAGGAAGGGAACAAGTAATATAGTGAGTGTATACAGGCTCTTGTGAGGCCGAGGCGGCCAGATCACAAGGTCAGTACATCGAGACTATCCTGGCTAACACGATGAAACCGTCTACTGAAAAAAAAAATTGCCGGGAGGGTGGCACGCGCCTGTAGTCCCAGCTACTCCGGAGCCTGAGGCAGGAGCATTGCTTGAACCTGGGAGGCGGAGGTTGCAGTGAGCCGAGATCGCGCCACTATCCTCCAGCCTGGGCTACAGAGCCAGACTCCCTCTCAAAACAAAAAACCAAAAACCAAAAATCAGGCTCTAAAAACTGCACACATGAGAGTGGAACAATAGACAATCAGGACTCAGAAGGGACGAAAGAATGAATGATACGTTACTTAATTTGTACAATGTAAGCTATTTAGCTCTCCTATACCGCATGTAACTTGACCACCATGGAGCATATGCATGTAACAAAGTTGCCATTTGTACCTCACGCAAGTAACAATTTTGACCAAAAGCTCAACACTTTTGTTCTGTTTCAATGTAATGTTTAGCAAGCCATGTGTTAGGTAGTGGGCCTCTGAAGAGGGATACTTTAACCTACCGCATGCTGTCATCTGTGAAATGAACTTTTAGCTCTGTAAGTGGACCTTAAAAAGTATTTTCCTGTCATTTCACAATATGTTTGTCATAGATTGTGGAGTTGGATTTTCATGAGGTGTTTTTGTTGTTGTTGTTTTTTGTTTTGTTTGGTTTGGTTTGGTTTTTCCGAGAGAATCAGTCTGGGTATTCAACTTCAAGTGGTATTTAAAGCTCTTCCTGGTTTCTAACCAAACTTGTCCAGTATTTTCAGCTGTTTAGAGTTTGGCAGAGATGTGAAGGCAGTTTTTCTTCCGAGTGCTCTCAGCCAGCTCAGCCATGTATCTGTGCCTTCCCTTCTTTCTCATATTGGATTCACTCTTGCAAAGAGGCATGCAGTGGTGTCCAGCCCTTTGGCTTCCCTTTGGGCCACATTGGAAGCAGAAGAGTTGTGTTGGGCCACACATAAAACACAGGATCACTAAGGATAATTGATGAAAGAAAAGAAAAGGAAGGAAGGAAGGAAGGAAAGAAGGAGGTGCGCGAATCTCAAGGTCAGACCAGCCTGGTCAACATGGTGAAACCCCGTCTCTACTAAAAATACAAAAAATTAGCTGGGCATAGTGGTGGGCGCCTGTAATCACAGCTCCTTGGGAGGCTGAGGCAGGAGAATCGCTTGAACCCAAGATCGCACCACTGCACTCCAGCCTGGGCTACAGAGCTAGACTCCATCTCAAAAATATCCCAGCTCCTCGGGAGGCTGAGGTTGCAGTGAGCTGAGATCGGGCCACTGTATGCCAGCCTGGGTGACAGAGTGAGACCCCATCTCAAAATAAATAAATAAATAAATAGAAAAAAGGAAGGAAGGGAAAGAAAGAAGAAAAGGTCTGTGCATAATTTTTGTGATATCCATCACCACAGATGAGCAAAAAAGTCCTCACATTTAAAGGGTTGGATAAGCATATACAGTTTTCGGAAACTTAAGATTTGATTCAGAAAAACAACAACAACAACAACAAAAAAAAAAAACCACTTTTGATCCATGGGGCCAGAAGCCTCTTTCCACAATTAACTTAGAGCTCTTTTAGTGGCTGTCTGCTAGGTGTAGGAACAACTTGACACTGCCTCTTCCAAGCTTCAAAGATAGTTCTCTTCTCACCTCTTCAAGGATTTTCCCTCCATAATGGAGCTGAGGCCATGTTTCTAGGTTTAAAATTTAGAGCTGCCACTTCATAGCTGTATAACCTTTGGCAAGTTATTCATTCTCTATCTGGGCCTCATGCTGTATAGCTGTAAATGTGGCAAATTAATAGAAACCTGTAGAACATATTTAAGATCACTTCCTGGCAGGTAGTAAATGCTGAATGAGTGTCAGCCCTTATTGTTATACCCCTGCTCCCACTACGCATGGAGTTTTGGGTTTTTTTTCTCCTGGACCTTCTAAGTTTTGTGTTTGGAACAGCAGAAAGTGCTTGGTTAGAACATTTTCTTGTGAAGATCTCCTTTTCTTTAGTTCTCAATTTGCATTGTTTGGTAAGAGGCCTATACAATATTTGTGTCTCTGTGGATAAATTTATAACACAGCAAAAGGGCTAGATAATAAATAGTTTGGAGTTTAAAGGCCATATATAGTCTCTGTCACACATTCTTTTTAGTTTTTAGTTTGTTTGCTTGTTCGAGACAGCATCTTGCTCCATCGCCCAGGCTGGAGTGCAGTGGTGCTATCACTGCTCACTGCAGCCTTGACACCCTGAATTCAAGTGATCCTCCCAACCTCAGTCTCCCAAGTAGCTGAGACTACAGGCATGCACCACCACACCCAGCAATATTTTTTGTATTTTTAGTAGAGATAAGGTTTCACCACGTTGCCCAGGCTGGTCTTGAACTCCTGAAATCAAGCAACCCTCCTATCCCGGTCTTCCCCAGTGCTGAGATTACAGACATAAACCACCGTGCCCAGCCTTTGTTTTTGTTTTTGTTTTAAACAATACTGTTAAAATGTAAAGACACTTCTTAGCTTGAGGGCCATACAGAAACAAGCCATTGTCCAGATTTGGCCATAGTCTGCCAACCTCTCCAGGAGTTCTTAGAGAGAAGATGAAATGTGTTGGCTACTTTAAATTTTCTTGCACAGCATTTCAAGGGTGAGAAATAAGTGACTGTTGATTTCATTAGGAATCCAAATCATTATTTGATCATTTTTATCATCCAGGCATCCTGTCCAATCCCCTCCACATCCTATAAATCGTAAACTTCACCATTTATTTCAACCTCAATGTATTTGCCTGTGTTTTCCTGAGTTCCTCTGAACTTTTATAACCTGAAGTCGCTCAATATCCAATCCAATCTTTTCAGTCAATAGCCAGATATTCTTCTAAAATATTAGCATTTAAACACACAAAAATACCCATATTGATGTATCCTGGCTGCTTATAGAAGAGAGTACTCCTGATGGTGCAGCTTGTTAAATGTGGGTGGAGATTCAGGGGGAGCAGTGAGAACATTTTGAAAACCTAACAGAATCCTGGGTCCCCTAAACAGTTTGTGTATTTGAGGATGACAGGGCGCTCTTGAATAATTTTCCGCAGGTTTGAATTTTCTCTAAATTGAATTATCTATGTTATTTTTCTTCCCCTTTTTAATGGATTTGCCCAGGAACTAAAAAGGGAAAACACTTAAATTAGAAAACATAACACATTTAAGTTTGAATTTGAATCTAGGTAGTTGGATTCTTAAGTCAAAGCGACTTGAATTACTGGTGCTGCAATGCAGAAGAAATCACTCTGACCGTGGAACTTTTCCAAGCTGCAAAATCCCATTCTGTAAAGACATCAGCACATGGAAACTCCTAGGACACAGAACCAGTTTGTAAAGTCAAGTCTGTGTGGTTAAGTTGGGGCTGTAGGCAACCAGCTGTCCCGTGCCTGTGTTACTTGCTACAGTTAGAAACAAAGTTCATGCCCAAACCAAGGAACCCAGTGTCTTTTCTCTTGCAAAAATCAAAGCGTGAACTCATGGGCAAATTTTAAAAAATAACTTTCACCGGATACTTAATAGAAATTTATCGCGACACGCTACTAACTAACATGATGCCCTCAGCCCATTGGATTCTTGTGAAAAGCAGAAGGGATTTTTAAAAATATCTTTCATCAATTGCACGAGATTCGTGAAAACACAAACAAGTATGTGAACCTGGAGGCTGTTTTCCTCCTTTGGAGCTTCAAAGTGCCAAATTCTGTACCGTTGTTTTAAGCATTTAATCAAATTTTGAGGACTAACAAACACAATTTGGGAGTCCAACAGCGAGCGGCGGCGGCCAGAGGGCGGTGGATTGGACGCTCCACCAATCACAGGGCAGCGCCGGCTTATATAAGCCCGGGGCCCGAGCATAGCAGCAATGCAAAACTTGCTCTTTGGATTTTGAGCTTATTCTCTTCTAGCAGTTTCTTGCCACCATGTCGGAAACCGCTCCTGCCGAAACAGCCACCCCAGCGCCTGTGGAGAAGTCCCCCGCTAAGAAGAAGGCAACTAAGAAGGCGGCCGGCGCTGGCGCGGCTAAGCGCAAAGCGACTGGGCCCCCAGTCTCAGAGCTGATCACCAAGGCTGTGGCTGCTTCTAAGGAGCGCAATGGCCTTTCTTTGGCAGCCCTTAAGAAGGCCTTAGCGGCCGGTGGCTACGACGTGGAGAAGAATAACAGCCGCATCAAGCTGGGCCTCAAGAGCTTGGTGAGCAAGGGCACCCTGGTGCAGACCAAGGGCACTGGTGCTTCTGGCTCCTTTAAACTCAACAAGAAGGCGGCCTCCGGGGAAGCTAAGCCCAAAGCCAAGAAGGCAGGCGCCGCTAAAGCTAAGAAGCCCGCGGGGGCCACGCCTAAGAAGCCCAAGAAGGCTGCAGGGGCGAAAAAGGCAGTGAAGAAGACTCCGAAGAAGGCGAAGAAACCCGCGGCGGCTGGCGTCAAAAAAGTGGCGAAGAGCCCTAAGAAGGCCAAGGCCGCGGCCAAACCGAAAAAGGCAACCAAGAGTCCTGCCAAGCCCAAGGCAGTTAAGCCGAAAGCGGCAAAGCCCAAAGCCGCTAAGCCCAAAGCAGCAAAACCTAAAGCTGCAAAGGCCAAGAAGGCGGCTGCCAAAAAGAAGTAGGAAGCTGGCGTGTGAAAACCGCAACAAAGCCCCAAAGGCTCTTTTCAGAGCCACCCAGAGATCTCTAAAAAATTGCTGTGCACAATGTGTTAGATCAGGCAGGCAGTTTTCGAAGTTGGTGTCAAACTTTTTGTCTGACGCCTAGCTACAAAGAAGCTTCTTAAATTTTAAAAGCCCCGCTCTATAATCTGATTGGTCAGTTTTGTTCCATCATCAGTACGTGGTTTCTCCGCGTTTAAGCCACTTAGGCGCCAGCTACTTCGGCGTTACTGTGTTCGGCATTGATATAGCCAATTTGATATGACTATCATTCTGTACTGGATTCCTTTTTTTCTTTACCCGAGTCAGAGTCTCGCTCTGTCACTCAGGCTGGCGTGCAGTGGCGCGGGCTCGGATCACTGCAGCCTCAGCCTCCCCGACTCATACGATTGTCTCACTTCAGCCTCTGAAGTGCTCGGGCTAAAGGTATGAACCACGCCGCCCGGCTATTTTTTGTATCGGCTATGATGCCTAGGCAGATCTCGAATTCATGAGCTTCAGCGATCTTCCCGCCTCAGCTTCCAAAAGTGCTGGGATTACAGGCGTGAGCCACTGCGTCTGGCCCTGGATTTTTTTCTCATTGGCTCTAGTACATATAACACGCGATGAATAAACACAGCGAACACTCTTGTAAGCCCTGTATTAAATGACTTGTTCACATTCTGACTTAAACAAGTCACCTGAATCCTGTAAGGTTTTCCCTAAAGTCATTACTAAGCTTTAGATGAAAAATGCTTTTCTTTTCACAGTAAACGTTCCGAATGTTTAACCAGTGGCCCAGCTCTCCCGCAGAAATAGTAAGTGGCTCTGAAAAGAGCCGTTGTATTGGAAAGTGACGCTATGGAGACATTATTTGCCCTTGGCCTTGTGATGACTCTCGGTCTTCTTGGGCAGTAGCACGGCCTGAATGTTGGGCAGGACACCACCCTGAGCGATGGTCACTTTGCCCAGCAGCTTGTTGAGCTCCTCGTCGTTACGGATGGCCAGCTGCAGGTGACGCGGGATAATACGGGTCTTCTTGTTGTCGCGGGCGGCGTTGCCCGCCAGCTCCAGGATCTCGGCGGTCAGGTACTCCAGCACCGCCGCAAGATACACCGGGGCGCCGGCCCCGACACGCTCAGCATAGTTGCCCTTGCGGAGCAGCCGGTGCACTCTGCCCACGGGAAACTGGAGACCAGCCCGAGAAGAGCGGGTCTTGGCCTTGGCGCGAGCTTTGCCTCCCTGCTTGCCGCGTCCCGACATGACGAAGAAACGATCGGTAGACAGACTGAGAAGAGATTAGAGAACTTTGCCAGAACTCCACTACTTATAGTCAATACTGGGCGCGAAAATAAAGCTGTGCCATTGGCTCAAATTACAGTTTTATTTAAACCAATGGAATCGCTGTTATGAAACACGTTTCTTTGGATTGGACAAAAATGCATATGACGTCATCTAGAATCGCCACCAGTCCTACACACTAATGTATTAATCACCTCATTTGCATAAGAATTCGTGAACAGGACGTTACAACGCACAGGTTTTTCTTCTTTTTTTTAAAGACATGGTGTCCCTCTGCCGCCCAGGCTGGAGTGCAGTGGTGCCATCTCGGCTCACTGCAACGTCCGCTCCTGGGTTCAAGTGATTCTCCTGCCTCGGCCTCCTGAGTAACAGATTACAAGCGCCAGCCACCACAGCCCGGCTAATTTTTGTAATTTTTAGTAGAGACGGGGTTTCACCATATTGGTCATGCTGCTCTCGAACCCCTGATCTTAGGCGATCCGCCTGCCTCGGCCTCCCAAAGTGCTGGGATTACAGGCGTGAGCCACCGCGCCCGGCCACTTTTTTTTTTTTCTCCTTGAGACAGGGTCTGGCTTTGCCCCCAGGTTGGAACGCAGCGGCGCGATCGTAGCTCACCGCAACCTCTTTCCTGGCTGAAGCGATCCTCCTCCCTGAGCCTCCCCAGTAACTGGGATTACAGGCGTGCATCACACGCCCAGCTAGTTTTTTAGATGTTTTTGGAGAGGCATGGTTTCGCCATTTTGTTCAGGCTGCTCTGGAACTCCTGACCTCAAGTGATCCGCCCATCTCCGCCTTCGCCTCCCAAACTACTGGAATTACGGGCACGCGCTGCCGCGCCCGGCCGCTTTTTCCTATTCTTTGTACCTTTTCTGCAGTTAAATTACAGCACGCCTGACCCCACCAAGTCAGCCCCAGCCCTGAAAAAGGATTCCAAGGAGGCTATTACTAAGACAAGAAGCGAAAGCGCAGCCGCAAGGAGAGCTGCACCGTGTACTTGCACAAGGTGCTGAAGCAGGTCCACCAACACTGGCATCTCTTCCAAAGCAATGGGGATCTTGAACACCTTCGTTATGACATCTTCGAGCGTTGCGCTGGCGAGGCTTCCCGCCTGGGGCATTACAAGCGTTCGACCATCACCTCCAGGGAGATCCAGACGGCTGTTCTCCTGTCACGCACGCGGTGTCCGAGAGCACCAAGGCCGTCACCAAGTACACGAGCTCCAAGTCAGCTCCTCTCTGGTTCGTCCACTTGGAACTCCACCAGGTTCTTCCTGACCCACACCCTAAAGACTCTTTTCAGAGATACCCACACTTCCTAAACAACTGACGTTCGTTTATCCCTAGTTTTGAAACGTTCAGTTAGCTTTAAACTAAAGCCTTTCATAAATGCTTCTTAATTTATGCAGTAGATACATTGTGGCCTTATGATATTTCCAATATTATCTGCTACCAAGAATTTTATGTTACAAACGTCAAATACACAAAACGGGAGTTTTATTGTGCGTATTTCACTTATCCGGACTCAATTTCAACGCTGAGGATCCCCTGTTGAGTAAGTTATTGTCTAGAAAACCAAGTATTCTTTAAAGTAAAAGTCCTATCAACCTCTACTGAAATATCACTGGACGTTTTACAGGTTACACCACAATTTTCAGGTCTCCTGATAGGATGCTCAGTGACTAGCATGTAATCCAGGTGGCATTCTCTTTCAATTTTTCTTTTGTAACATGAATGCTGGGAATGTGCTTTCTTGCTACCTCCACTTTAGGCCTAATTTGCACAAAATGACCTAAAGGTATTGAGATTAAAATGGAGAAAGAAGAAGGAAAGAAATAAGAACCAATTTACATCACCTCTTCCCACCAGTTAGAAATGAGGTCTGGATCATTCCCTGCTAATCCACATGCCATGCTGGCAGATGGAATTTTTCTACTAATTAATTTCTTTTACATTTGTCTTAGGTAGACCAAAGTACTCCACACTTCTCCCGACTTTCACACCTGTCTTATGAAGCTCCTCTAAGATGTAACTTGATTATGCTTCATGCTTTCCTCTCACCTTTAATGTCTCACCACTATAAAGAATGGCATTTCTGTTTACTATACTTTTAACATGATCAAAATTTTCCTTGATTAAGAGTTTAGAATGTAGGTCAGTTTCTTTTCTAAGTCAGCTCCACATTTCATCTCACTTTATATTCTCCTTACTGGTTTTTTCTGTAATAAGGGGGAAATTATAAACAAAAAGGCAATATTTTTGAAATGTGAAGGCAGGAGAGTCATGGGAAGGCCTTTTCTCCATGACAGAAGTGCAGTCTCCCAGTGTTTAGGCTGGGAAAACCATTTTGCCTTTTCCAGTAATCAGTGTGGAAATACAAGTCCCAATTGTGCTACAGACGATCAGATACCAGAATCATGAAACTTAACACCTTTGTTGTTTTTCTAGGTGTTAATCAATCTTTTCTCATTAAAAAGCTGGAGGTCTTAGATGGGCCTATGTGAATGAAAAGCACAAAATCTAGGCTGAATTTATGAGCTCAGAGAGCCAAGGACAGTTAAGGCGCCAAGCACAGTTAAGGAGCCAAGTCTGCAGACAAAACCAGTGACTGTCTTCTCTCCAACTTCCAAAATTGCAGAAGTCTATTGCTAGGCTGGCGCTGTAGCTCATGCCTGTAATCCCAGTATGTTGGGAAGCCAAGGTGGACAGATCACAAGATCAGGAGTTCAAGACCAGCCTGACCAATATGGTGAAACCTTGTCTCTACTAAAAATACAAAAAAAATTAGCCAGACCTGGTGGGCACATGCCTGTAATCCCAGCAACTCCAGAGGCTTAGGCATGATAATCACTTGAACCCAGGAGGTGGAGGTTGCAGTCTGCCAAGATGGCACCACTGTACACCAGCCTGGGCAACAGAGCAAGACTCCAACTAAAAAAAAAAAAGAAAGAAAGAAGAAGTCTATTGCTTTACTAGATCCACCAACATTATTCAATCTGAAATTAGTACTGTTACTGATACAGTCAAGGAATGAAATAATATTAGGCTCTCAAAGTACAATTATTATTTCCTGAAATGTTTCTTATAGCTGTCCTCCATTTCTGTAAAGTCACTTTTTGTCCACACTTTGAGGACCATCCCAAGTCTTACTTCCCCTGAAACCTTTTTTATGTCTATTACAATTTGCATTGTTTTCCTGTCTTGTAGCTTCTCCAGAGTTCCTTCCTGTTTGAACCATTCCCACACATATACACCCTGCCTATGAGCAAGCAGAGATCTTGTCTTTCCTGTATCTTTATAATTTTTGTTCTGTTAGACCCAATAATCTCAGAAATACAATTTGTTTCTAGATAGTCTTCTATTTGTCTTTAATATTTTTGTTTTGTAATCCATTTTTCTTTTTAAAAATTTTTTGTAATCTATTTTTAACCCACATTACCTATCTTCTCTTTTAAGGTTGGCCTATGGGACTTACACCGGTATTCAGTTTTGAAATTAGGAGACCAACTCCTAAAACAAATGACCACTTCAAGAGGTCAAGATTTTGGTTTATTTGACACCCAGCTTCTATATTTTTAAGTTGGAGATAACAGCAATTCATATCGTGTGAGTGTTGTAAGGATCAGTGAGAATACTTTGTGAATTATGATTATACACATATTTCATGTACATTAAAGAGGAATCTTATATATTTATTCAACACTTGAAAGGCTTAGGGCACCCTCACCTATCTATCAAACTGAATCACAAAGCTCCGCCCATGCAGTGCTGTTTTCCAGTTCCTTTTTATTTTCAGTAGATACTTGTTGAGCACATGCTGTGTTCCAGAAACTCTTCTAGACCAGAAATATATATATATACACACATACACACACACACACATATATATATATATTTTATTTTTTTATTTTTTTGAGACGGAGTCTTGCTTAGATCTCGGCTCACTGCAAGCTCCGCCTCCCGGGTTCACGCCATTCTCCTGCCTCAGCCTCCCAATTAGCTGGGACTACAGGCGCCTGCCACTACGCCCGGCTAATTTTTTTGTATTTTTAGTAGAGACGGGGTTTCACCATGTTAGCCAGGATGGTCTGGATCTCCTGACCTGGTGATTGGCCCGTCTCAGCCTCCCAAAGTGCTGGGATTACAGGCGTGAGCCACCGCGCCCGGCTGCCGACCAGAAATATTACAGTGAACTAAACAGACAAAAAGTTATGCACTCACAGTTTATTTTCTAATAAGGGAACAATATATATATATCTCTTTTATGATGTAAGATAATATTAAATGTTGGGGAGGAAAATAAAGCAGAAAAGAAAGATAGGCTTTGTATTTCTTATTTTAAATAACATAATCATAGAATGTTCATCAAGAAGTTGAAATTTTAAAAAAGATGAGGAGATGAGGGAGTGGGCCTTTGGGGATTGAAGGCAGAATAAAAAATGAATAAGTAAAGAGGCCCTGAGGTGTTTGTGGGAAGGAGAGATACCTGGTATTAGTCAAGGAACAGCAAAGTGGTCAGTGTGGCTGGAACTGAGGGAACAAGGAGAACAGTAACTGGAAGTGGAGTAACAGAAATGGGGAAGCAGCCTCAAGAATGTATAGGACCTTATATCACACTGTAGTAGCTTTGGATAGTATTGTCCTAAATTTCAAGTTTTTAGTAGCTGTAGAAAGCTGTGGGTTTTGTGTGATCAGCTGTACCCATCTTAACCCCCTGTTCCTGGACTTTAAAGGGATAATATGCAAGGTACTCCACATGTCATTACTTCTTTGTTCAACCTTTCAGAAAGGATAGAAGGAAGGAAAACCTCCCAGGGTGAGTCAGGGTATGAAGAATCCCAAAGAAGTGCCAGACTCTTCCCTAAAGATATGGGAACTCAAGGTCTTTCACTCTCAACAGCTGCCTTTTTTCCCAGAATAGTACCCGTTCCCCACAGCTTCCTTAACTAAGCAAATGCTGGTGGGAGAATCACGAATTTTGAATCTGCGTCCAGTTGGGAGCATTAGAAACACCACAAACATGGGCCTGTGACAAATAAGACTGTCTCAAATATTAAAGCCATGCCCACCATGTGATGCATGTCCCTACTTCTGACTTTCAGTGTTCTGCAACTTCTTTTTTTGAGAGGGTGTCTCGCTCTGCCGCCCAGGCTGGAGTGCAGTGGCTAGATCTCGGCTACTGCAAGCTCCCCCTCCCGGTTTCACGCCATTCTCCTGCCTCAGCCTCCGGAGTAGCTGGGATTACAGGCGCCCGCCACCACGCCCGGCTAATCTTTTGTATTTTTTAGTAGAGTCAGGGTTTCACCATGTTAGCCAAGATGGTCTCGATCTCCTGACCTCGTGATCCGCCCTCCTCGGCCTCCCATAGTGCTGGAATTACAGGCGTGAGCCACCGCACCTGGCCGGTGTTCTGCAACTTCTTTAGATCAGTACCTTATTTCTACCTGTCTCAGAGCAAGACAGCAAAATCTCTCATATTTCCTTGCGTAGTACATTATCCACTAAATAGGTAATAATCAAATGGCCCTTTCAATGATATATCAGTTTTTTTGTTTTTGTTTTTTGTTGTTGTTTGTTTCTTTGCTCAACCTTTCAGAAAGGATAGAAGGAAGGAAAACCTCCCAGGGTGAGTCAGGGTATGAAGACTCTTTGTTTAGCTCTTGTTGCCCAGGCTGAAGTGCAATGGCCCAATCTCGGCTCATTGCAACCTCTGCCTCCCAGGTTCAAGTGATTCTCCTGCCTCAGCCTCCAGAGTAGCTGGGATTATAGGCATGCACCACCACGCCCAGCTAATTTTGTATTGTTAGTCGAAACGGGGTTTCTCCATGTTGGTCAGGCTGGTCTCAAGAACTCCCGATCTCAGGTGATTTGCCTGCCTCGACCTCCCAAAGTGCTGGGATTGCAAGTGTGAGCCACCGCGCCTGGCCTATTTATCAGGTTTATACTCCCTATTTCTCATTCTCCTTTCAACTAATGGTCCCCTTTAATCATACATCACAATCGTTGGTAGAAGTTTGTGGAGGAAAAAATACTATTAACTAGACCCTACTGCAGAGATTCTGATTTAATTGATTAGGAGCGGGGCCTGAGCATCTGGTATATGCACACATTTCTTTTTCCAGATGAAGTCTTGCTCTGTTGCCCAGGCTGGAGTGCAGTGGCCCAATCTTGGCTGACAACAATCTCCGCCTCCCAGGTTCAAGCAATTCTCCTGCCTCAGCCTCCTGAGTAGCTGGAATTAC